CCTCCCACACATCTCCTCCCCTCAGCCTGACTCATAATCCCCTTATACAGTACACAAATTCCCCCAGTTTCTGGATGTACCCCTAAACCTAGGGGTACCCCTTTAAATAGCACATCCCCTGGTAGCCCTGATCTGGGTGAGCAACATATCCAAAAATCACCAAGATCGGACCAAGGGTTCGGGAAATTTGTGGAGGTAATGAAAAGATCGACCGCGCTGGAGAGAATAGCCGAATTGGGTTCCATGCGATGGGGCCCTGCGGTCGGTCACAATATAAGGGAACAAACTGCACGAAAGGCTAAGGTTACAGAGATCAGGGAGGGTTCGCATGAATCCCCTTGTTCGGTTATTTCTTTCTACCGAACGAGGGGCCGTTCGGTAGTTTGGAAGCGGACGTATCGTGCGTATGGAGGTCTCAGCGGTGGTTGCCTAGTCGAGTGTCCGATTTGGGTTCCAGACACTCGACGGCAAAACACCGCTGTTGGGAGTTTTAAAATGGCCGCCACCACGTGTTCGTTTCACGAATGGCGGCCACCCCGCGAACAAAGGACCTACTGCACAGCTTGTCAATTTCCCTTTCACAACATTGTTGCAACGGTTAATTGAAGTCACACTTCACACAGGGGAGGTCTGGCTGTTCGGTAGTTTCATTCCTTTAGTTGCTAGAATGATTCTACCGAACAATTAGAGGTATACAAGTTATTTATACACATATAATCCTGCAATTTACACGAATACATTCAAACATATGCAATTTCTAGGACAGCCCAGTGTCATCCGCTACAATGTGTTTTTTCCCCAATCAGATCTTACAGCACGGTTTGTTTTCGTTAGATGTTCTTATCGCTATATAGATTTATGAAAATCTCAGAATTGATAGGTATGCTTCAACTGAGGCTCTGCTTCCCAGAAATACTTTGATTCCTAAATCATAGCTGCCAAAATATACACAGCAAAGAAAGTGATGTATCGTTTAGATTGTACGCTTGTCTGGGCAGGGCTCTCTTTACATACTGTTCCCAAAAACAGACGTGAAAAGGGCTGATACGTCTCTTTTCAGCCAATGCAACTATGTGTCAAATATCTTTTGTTAGAATTAAATATTTGTATTGTTTACATATTGTACAGCGCTGTGGAATATGTCAGCTCTACATAAATAATTGTAATTGTTCATATATAAATCAATATGCTAAAAAAACAAACAAACAAAAAAAAAAACTGTGTGCAACATTCCACCGAGTACTTGTTGCCTAGCAAGTCCCAATTTATAAGCAATCTCAATCACAAACATATTTCAAACACTTAAATTAACTTATTTAAAATACATATCTGATATTACGTCTGTGAATATGAAAATTATAGTGCTTAAGAATGTGTTTAAACTGAAGTGTTGAAAAGTGAAATTTCACATTACGCATGAATAGCCAAAAAAAAAAAAAAAAAAATCTTAAATTCTGCTATATTTTCCAAACTTTTTTGCAAATTTAAATTCCCTGAACAATTCTTGACGTTTACAGTTCAGCAAATAACCTTGCTTGTAAGTATCCGATTTTTTGTAAGAGGTTATAAACCAGAGTAGGAGGAATCAGGAACTACAACGTGAAGGTACGTTCTACGTAAAGGGTCATCTCCGGATCCTTGGATTTTAACTCTTTATTGACATGCCCTGGCATGCCATGTGTTATGAAGGGGTTAAAAGGCAACACAGCCACAATGTACCTTAAGCCTTTGTAAGACTGTGTTGACTATAATAAATGTATAAAAGGTCTACAAAAATATATTGAAATAGTAAACTAAACAAACAATCTGAAATCTCAGGTCTAAAAGGTATCAGAACTTATATATAGATGATTCTCATCGGACTATTTTGTGCATTTTGAGTCTTAATGCTCAAGAAAGGGATAGTCACAAACATTCATACAAGCTCTAAAAGGAAAGTGTCACAGCATATTGAACTTCAGGCCGGGGGATAAACATATATGCCATTATTGAGATCTCAACATGTTCTTTAGGGTAATGTGCATATTTCGCAGTGTCGCAAAGACCATATCCTGAGAGTTAAACGTGACGCTTGCAATCACCAGTCTCCCCTGTGTGTTAAACCAGGCAGATATTCCGCTCACATTCCTGGAGGCAGTAAGCTTGATGCAGACAGTAAGAACATAATTAGATTCAAGCAGACAGAAGAAATGAAATAACCTTGTCTCCACACCAGAATGAAATCTAAGTAACTTAAACAGTAATTTTACTTTAAATGCCATTTCACTTGTTTTTATTACCAAGACATACCAAGTAGTCTCGATCAGGTAGATACGGTCAAGAATGCTCATTTTTCAGCATGATCGCCAATCAACCTCATTGAACACAATTTGCATTCATTCCTTGAGACTATTTGAGATGGCAATTACATGGTGTAGAAGCCCGAGTAATGCTGGCATAATACAAGATATTTCTGGCTACAAAGTTTATTTGTGTCACTTGCATGGTCTGTGCATTTTCTGCAGACTGCCCAGGCAATATGCTTGGAGAAGTGGTGGGTGTCGCACCTTAAATGTCCTTAGGTGTAATAAAGTGAAATGACAAAAATGCAACACAGATACAATCTAATAGTGTAGTATGATTAAGTCATAAGTAGAAAGGTTAGAAAGATACACTTACATTACTTTGAGCTGTAATGTAGCTCATATGTTTGAGCTACATTACAGCTCCAAATAGTGTAAGTGCATTTCACTATCCTCTCTCCATATCACTTAATCATACTACATTATTGAATTTTATTGGTGTTCCATTTTTGTTGTTTCATATTATTATACCTAAGGACATTGAATGTGCTACTCCTATATCTGCTCTTAGCATCTTTCTATCCAAAAGAGAACAGAGATGGCGTATTCTGCTGCCTACCGCCATCCTACCAGGATACTCCCCAGCATTTGACAATTTGTTTTTAATCTTCTGCTCAGGTAATATGCCTGCAGGATGGTGGCCTAGATGGTACAAGAAATCCTCCACAGTTCTCACACATGCTTGAAGGACACTTCCCACCATCCATCACTAAAGACAAGTGAAAGAAAATGGCAAATTACTGTAGTGGGAAATTAATCAAAATCACCTAGTTTTAGGAATTTGTTGGAAGCATACATAAGATAGTGACGGTAGTCCCTCTGACATTATGCTAATTGAACTGTACAAAATGTACAGATAAAATATGATTTCATATTGAAGATTTTTTTCCCTTTTATTTCTGCATAGATTTATAAACAATATCTATAATGAGACGTGAGCAGTCCTGTGGCCACACACCCAGCAAAAATGTAGCTGTGAAGAAAATCTGGAAAAACTGCAACTCTTGTTTACAATATAGAAAACAATATGTCTGCAAAAACAGTTATATATTGGGGTTGTATAAATAAAAATGATTACAAAGCATCAGCATCCCCAGTTCTGATTCGGAGAAATAAGGAGCAACCTTGAAGGGTAGTCAATTCCAACTTCAATGTTCCCGATTAATGGAACCAACACGAGAACCCTTTCCAAATTATTCTAAACCCACCATACTCATGTTACCATAGCCTTTCACTTGTAAACGTACCATCTCTCACTGTTTAGTGCATAAACCTCCTTACTGCTGATAGCCTAGTGTACGAAGTACCTTGTAGATCAAACATACTCGATGGATGATAGTAGAACCATGATATTATTCTTTGGAGTCTAAAGAATCAAACGCACTGCAGAGTGAAGGTTCATGTGGTAAATTGAGATCTCTGCCTTGGTGAACCATAGTCAGATAAAGGCTATTTGCTATCCTCCTAATAAAATCTATATAATGAAATGGTGCAGTCCTAAAATGTGTTTACCTGGATTATTTTATTTGGTTAATTCAGCATTACAAGAGTTAAACAACTTGGAAACTAAAATGGCAGGTTCACAGATACAGAAAGCTGGTCCAAAATAGTATCTGAAGATAAAGTGGCCTGTGTTTATTTCCATCCACTTTACTGAAGTCACAATAGCAGTCAGCTGTTAAATTAAGTGCGCCAGGAGAGCAGCGTGTTGTGGCGTGACTCAAAGGAAATGAAAGACAGGATGAACACACACTAATGGAACAAAATACTCCTCTCACAAATGCCGGAAATTTTGATATTACAGGTCGAGATTGTCAAATAAAGTTCCAGTGCCACAGGAAGGAGTGAAGTATGATAACTTCTGAGGCTAATTAGTAATCTTGACAATTTTTTATGCCTACAATGCTATATAGTTCACACAATAGAGAGTATGATTCATTATGACTTTAAGAGAAGACAAATCCAGCTGAATTTTTTTTTTTTTTTTTTTTTAATCTGTGTTCTGTGGGCAGGAGCTGGCTAAAGGGGAAAGTCCTAGGTTGCAGACTCTGCTCTCTGGAGCATAACATGCCCTGTTTCAAAAGGTTCTCTTTAACAGAACCCTCCAGTTAATTTATGTATTTATTTTGCAAAAACAGATCTACAAGCAGGTAAAATAAAGACAGCGAAGCAATGTTTGCGAATAATGTGGCAATAAATACGGTACATAAACAACCTTCTACGTATCTTATTATAATGTTTATATAGTTAGCACCACTATTATTAACAATCAATCTCGCCTTTGGATTTACGGCTTTTTCTTTCGACTATAAGTTTATCGAGCAGTGCCCTCATCATCTCATGCTCTTGTGTTAAACTTATTTTGCAGAAGATTTTACAAAGCAGTATGGGCACATAATACACAGGATTATGAGCCCATCTGGATTTATACAATTTGCTCACTTACAAATCATACACTCTCACTGACAAACACACACTCAGTAACAGACACACACAAACACACTCAATAACAGACACACACAGTAACACTCAATTACACTCACTAACACACACACAAACTTTTTTTTTTTTTTTTTTAAATGTAATCCCCCAGCCTCACCTTTTGGAGTGCTGAGGGGATTCCCTGGGGTCCAGTGGTGTCACCCAGCGGGCAGGCTGGTGAGTACTGTCCCCTGTCAGCTCCCTCTTCAGCTCCCTCGCGCACCGCGTACTGATTCCAGAGCCGGAAGATGGTATCATCTTCCGGCTCCGGTATCAGTGCGGTGCGCGAGGGAGCTGAAGAGGGAGCTGAAGAGGGAGCTGAAGAGGGAGCTGAAGAGGGAGCTGAAGAGGGAGCTGAAGAGGGAGCTGAAGAGGGAGCTGAAGAGGGAGCTGAAGAGGGAGCTGAAGAGGGAGCTGAAGAGGGAGCACACAGGGGACAGTGCTCCCTCGCGCGTCCGCCCGGTGATACCAGGCCAGCCTCGGGGGGGGGGGCCCTGTGGGTACATACCGGGTCACAGGGCGCCAGCCTCGGGGGGGGGGGCCCTGTGGGTACATACCGGGTCACAGGGCAGCGGGACCCTGTGGGTACATACCGGGTCACAGGGCGGCCGGGCCCCATGGTGGGCCGGGCCCGGTCGCACCCCCTGCGACCCGGTATGTACGCCACTGCGCACACACACACGCAGTGAGATACACAAACTGACACACATACAGGTACACTGACACATACACACACCTTGACAGACACAAAGATACACACTGACACAAAGATACACACTGACAGACAGATACACATTGACAGACAGATACACATACTGGACACACACACAGTGACACATATACACAGTGACACATACTGATATGAACACACAAATATATATCAGTATTTATATTTACAGCCACCCTCCTACAGGAGCAAGCCACCTGTAGGAATGTGGCTTACTTGAAGGCTGATGTGTGGACTGCAACTCACTTCTTTCTCCCCCCTGCTCTCCCTCCCTCGAGGAAGCTCTTCTTATAGCTGTGAGGAAGTGACAGGCTGTCACTTCCTCCCAGCCAGCTAAAATCACAGGGCTTCTAAAGGGCCAAAGCACCTGACCAGACCCATGTCAATCGATACCCATTGCGCTGGCCGGGGCCCCCCGAGCGCTCTGGAAGGGGCCAATCTATCTGAAAGGCCCATTACCAGGCAGCAACTCAGTGGCGGAACTCCCGGCACTAGGCCCTCTAACGCTCTGGGCCCTAGTGGAGCCGCACCATTGGTAGTTTCACCACTTTCTCCAGTGTTATACTCCAAAATTGAATTTACTGGAGTAAGGGAACAAGGAACTGTCACTTCTTGTAAAGTGACAGTTACTTTTTAAATTTTGCAACACTTTCATGTTTGAATATGTACTTTGCAAATAGTGTAATATAATTTTATATTAAATACTAGTATGCAGTGCTTTTCTTTTTCTTTAAGCACTCAGACTAATCGATGGCTCCTTTGCCAACTTGCTTCTGCCGGTGAATGTAAAACTACAGACTACAGCAAATCTAGAATGACATAACGGTAAAAAACATTCCACTGGCCTTGGAACTTGAATCGAAAAATGTATACCCAATAAATCAATACAGCTGCAAAGGATGAACTGGTGTGAATTTACCAGCACAAGACAACATGATTTTTATTTTGATAATAAAGAGGGTTCAGAAAGATTTAAAGTAGGATATGTTAGCATAAAAGCATACAAAAAGTAAATAATGGAAACAGGAGAGGACACAGTATAAATACTTGTGTCAATCCTGTTCTAATTATCCTACGCACCAGTGCTAGTCTCCAAGGGTCTCTCAGGGCTTAACCCTAAGTAACTTCAATGAGAAAACAAAACAAAAAAAAAACATGTGCAATGGTTCACCTAAAGTCTGGAAATACTAGTAACAGTTGTTGAATAAAATTGTATCAAAATGCCAGGTATGTAGCAAAATTAATACTAATAAGAGATCCTGCAATAAAACAAAACAACTATAAAGACAGCCCTGTAAGGCAACTCGTATGTCTGAATGCAGTTAAATCATTAGAGATAAATCAAATAGTGAGCTTGACCAGAATACACTGATATAAACGGTGTAAACATATATAGAGAAAAGGGGCTAAAATGGCCCAAAAATAGAGAATTATCAAAAAATACCAGTAGCCGGTAGCTGCTCCTAAATATAGAGGTTAGATACCATATAACCAGTCAATATTAGAAGTATGAGGAGAAAAAGGAATTAAAGATTCTATTGCCTGTAAGTACAAGGCAAGGATTAAACTAGAACAGCCTCTCTCCCTTCAATAATAACTAGACATGCATAGGAGAAAAAACTGAAAGAAAAAAATAATCAAACCAACATAATTACCAACAAGTGAATAAATAAAAGGTGAAGTGCCTAAAAGAACCCGAACTAGAACGACAAACGCGCATTTCGGTGCAGAAATACATGCACCTTCATCAGAGGAAAACTATCAAATGGCAAGGATCGCTCTTATAACAAGATATCCCACGTGGGTATTTTCAGTAAGAGCCAATGGTATGCATGCACCACAATCAGGAGGGGTGGTTATTGTGACGTTGCGGTAGTTTGCAATGTTAACACCCATAGAGTACTATAGTCCCATCATATGGATGCTGGGGGAGTGGCTCACTCCACAGGGCATTCAGAGAGTGTGGACACATATAATTGAATAGCTTAGGGCAGTAACGCCAATACATCTGTATAATCCAATGATATGGAGGTAGGAGGAGTCACTCACTGCCAATTGATGCAATAAGGGCCAAAATCTCAACAAAATCTTAATGACAGAATGCCAGCCGGCATCAAAATTACCAATACCTAAGTAGATGAATTATTTGGTAAAGTTTAAGTCAGAAGTTAGATACGATCAGTTAGAAGGACACGCTTGAATGCAGCTTTAAGGCATCTATTCGGATAACCCTTACTTTTAAACGGGAACTTTAGTATCATCGCTTTCTGTTTGAAATCCTCTATAGTTGAACAATTGTATCTAAGGCAGAGATATTGTCCCACTGGAATCCCCCTCTTAGGGGCCGGTGGATTATAGCTTTCCCAGTTTAAAAGATTGTTGGTAGATGTGGGTTTCCGAAAGAGTGTCATTGATAAGATTCCCTCAGTCTTAATTCTAATTGTGATGTCCAGCAAAATATTCACATTCCCGCCAATTTCTGAGGTCAGTCTCAAGTTAATGTTATTGTAGTTATAAGAGCGATCTTGCCATTTGATCGTTTTCCCCCGATGAAGGTGCATGTAGTTCTGCACCGAAACGCGCGTCGGGCGTTCTAGTTCGGGTTCTTTTGGGCACTTCACCTTTTATTTATTCACTTATTGGTAATTATGTTGATTTGATTATTTTTTTTCTTTTTCTTTTTTCTGCCATGCCTGTCTAGTTAGTTTTGAAGGGAGAGAGGCTGTTTTAGTTTAATCCTTGCCTTCTCCTTACAGGCAAAAGAATCCGTATTTCCTCTTTCGCCTTGTACTTCTAATATTGACTGGTTATATGGTATCTAACCTCTATATTTAGGAGCATCTACCGACTACTGGTATTTTTTGAAAATTCTCAATTTTTGGGCCATTTGAGTCCTTTTCTATATATATATTTACACCGTTTATATCAGTGTATTCTGGTCAAGCTCACCATTTTGATTTATCTCTAATGATTTAACTGCATTCAGACATAGGAGTTGCCTTTATAGTTGTTTTGTTTTATTGCAGAATCTCTTATTAGTATTCATTTTGCTACATACTTGGCATTTTGATACAATTTTAATTAACAACTGTTCCAGGCTGTACATTGGTTTCACTTTATGTGAACCATTGTACAGGTTTTTCTTTGTTTTTTTCCTTATATGTTAGCATAAATCACAGGCAACATGAAGCTAAATTAATTATGACCTAAACTGAATATATATATATATATATATATATATATATATATATATATATATATATATATATATATATATATATATATATATATATATATATATATGTATAAATATATTAAAAAAAATTTAAAAAAAAAAAATGCAATTAGTATCTTGTAATAACTTTATTATTGGACTAACATAATTTTTGAGTTTTAATTGGTCTCCCTAGAAACCGTACAGCCTTTTTAGAGCCTGCAATGAATGTCGCCATCAGGCTGATTTTTCTCTCCTGTTGCTCCTTGCGCATCTCACCCCTCTGGCAATCTTTACATAGGCAGGATTCCTGTACCTTATAGGAGTCGATTCAAATTACTAACCCTTAACTAAAATGCTCTAAACAACAAAAGACCGTGTTAAAGGTCTTCATTAATTTGTTGCTCTCTCCTATGTGTCGGTGAAGTTCTCCTATCCGCTGCTCGCATTCTTACTGTTAACTTGCACGACTTTGTGTGGGCAGCTCCTTTCCTTTGGAACAGCATGTCCACCCCCATCAGATACTCACCTAGGCTTCACTCAATTAAGAAGTCCCTCAATACCTTCCTCTTTAGAAAAGCTTATGGTCTCCCAGAGTTCAATTTCACAAGCCTGTCTCTTGCTCTCTCTTAAAGGGTCGCACACCACTTATCTTCCAGTTCTGCTACTTTCCCACCTTGTCGCTAAACTGCTATCCCCTTTGATGCCCTTGGTGTTTTTATACCCTACCTCCCCTAGATTGCAAGCTCATTTGAGCAGGGTCCTCATCTATCTAGTGTTCCTATAAGATGTTGTGATTGTTTAATATATTGTTAAACTTATAATATTGTAAAGCACCGCAGAGGTTGGCGCTACATAAATGCCAATAATAACAACATTATAATCAGCCACAACATTATATATATTCTATGAACGGCATATAAACTGATCAGCCACAACATTAAAACCACTTAAACATTAAAAGCCTGCTATCATGCTGGTTCCTTCTCGTGCTTCTGAGACAACTGTGATGCATTAGTCACGACCTTTGAATGTGTCCTATGGTATCTGACACGAAGACAATAGCAGCAGACCCTTAAAGTCCTACAAGTTGTGAGCTGAAGCCTCTAAGGATCATATTTGTTGTTCCAGCACATCCCACAGATTCTCAATCAGATTGAGATCTAGGGAATATGAAGGCCAAAGCACCACTTTAAACTCTTTGTCAGGTACCTATTCCTGAAGAATTTTGCAGTGTAGCAGGGTGCATTATCCTACTGGCCTACAACTATCTCTAGGTAGGTGGCACGTGTCAAAGTAACATTCACATGAATGCCAGGACCCAAGGTTTCCAAGCAGAACATTGCTCAAAGCATAACACTGCCTCCGCCGCCGTGGCTTCTTTCC